ATATTTTAATTATATCTTAAGAACATTATTTGCTAATTATAAACCCAATATCAATTTTTTACAAGTTTCTGTAAAGTGCTTCCTATATATATACTGTCATCTTGTCTCTTCCTTATTCTTAAACACTTTCTATATTAAAAGTTTTTAAATTAGTAAATCTATACCAATTTTTTTAAAAGTTGGGTAGCTAAAGAAAGCAGGTTGCATATCGCTAAGGCATCGAGGTTGTCTGTTATAAAATTTTTTTTTGGAATTTGTATATTTATGGTTTAAGAAAAGCTATAGAGTTTCAATCCCATGATGCTAATTTTTTTCAACCCACCTAGTTTGCTTAAAGTTTCCTTATTAGAATTACTATTTTTGAGAATGAAAAATGAAAATTCTTGAAGAACAGTTCTTAAACTTCGAAGTATAGTAAGTGGTAAACTTTTTTTTGTATTGCTTTTATGTATATACTAGATTTATTTCTTTAATTAATCAGAACTGTAAATAATTAGTAATCAAAACTTAGCTAAAATGGTAAATACTCCAGCAGTAGAACAAAAGAAAAATAATGTTGAAATCCTTAAAGAATAGTTTTTAAACGTTGAAGTAGGGTAAGTGGTAAACTTTTTTTATGTTGCTTTTACATATATACTAGATTTATTTCTTTAATTAACTAGAACTGTAAATAATTAGTAATCAAAACTTAGCTAAAATGGTGGATGCTCCAGCAGTAGAACAAAATAAAAATAATGTCCAAATCTTTGAAAAACAGTTCTTAAACATTGAAGTAGAGTAAGTGGCAACCTTTTTTCATGTTGTTTTTGACATATATATTAGATTCATTTTTTTAATTAACCGGAACTAAATAATTAGTGTACAAAGTTCAGCTGAAATGGTAGATGCTCCAGTAGTAGAACAAATATTTGGCAGTTGGGACGAATTAGATCATTTTGTATCTTTCTATACAAAGTCACAAAATTTTGTCAGTATAATATGTGGCTCAGAATACAAGGATAGAGTTTGTTGAAGCTGTCGATATACTTGTGAATATCAAGGTTATAGTACTACAAAGAATAAGACAAATATTATTAAGAATCAACGACAAACACAAAGTAAACATATTAGATGCTATTGGCAGATTTGTGCAAGTTGTCCTAAGATGACTAGCATATTAAGTATAAGTTCTATTTGTTTAAGCAAGATGAAACAAATAAGTTTGCTTCTAAATATCGCGCATTCTCTGAAGATATGTTGAAAGATATTAAGTTTTGGACAGAAATTGTTAATCTTAATATGAGAAAGAGACAAGATGACAGTATATTAAAAGACAAATAAGCTAACTTTCTATAGAAAAACAAATTTGATTTGTGTTT